AGGTTCAGGAAAGTTACAAGATAGGTAACAGTTAAGAACTGTGCGTGTGTGTGATTAATATATATTACTTTGCTACCTTATTAGCATTGTTTTCAAATTCTGAAATATTTCTAAATGATTGTATACTAGGATGCAAAGATAACTTTATTGTATTTCTAAAAAGCACAAGTGACCATGTTGCAAAAAGGCCTAGGAAAGTAAATAAAGTTTAAACACTGAAAACAAAAGAAAGATAGTTAAGACTTATTTACACCAAAACTGTCAAGGCATTAATAAAACTAAAGATTTTTTTTAAATAAAAATTTATTTTTATTTATTCATTTATTCATTTTAAATTGACCAGAGAGAACAGAGAGAAAGAGAGAGTGAGAAAGCAAGGCTCCAGCACCTTAACCACCACGCCACCTGCTGGTCCCCCTAAACATCTTCTTAAAAAATGATGTTTCTGAGGACCAGCCGATGGCATAATGGTTACATCATTGGACTCCCGGGTAATTGACTGTAGTTTGAGTCTCAGACTGAGCAGCTTTAAACTCACATCGGGCGCATGTGTGTGCATGCCCCAAGATCCCAGGAGGAGAGCGGAGGAGAAGGGGTTACAGAGTGGCCATCCCCCAGGGGGTGATTTCTTGCTTTCTGTCTCTTTGGTGAGCATATGAGCCCTGTAGCAAAAATTTCTCTTAAAAAAAAAAAAGAAAAGAAAAGATGTTTCTGAAGGCTCAGTATTTTCAAGTCTGTTCTTCCCAAACTGATGGGGACAAATCCAGTAAGTCCTAAGTGTAACCGTCCGCCAGCATTTCAGATAAAAGCACACTGAGATACAGTTTAAAAAGTGGTCAAGTCTCAGAGCTGGAGAAAATATAAAGAAAACAAGTTGGGAACCAGCAGTTAGCGTAATGGCTATGTCGCTGGACTCCCACGTAGTCGACCGCGGTTCACGTCCCGGACCCGGTGGCTTAAAACTCACGCCAGGCGCGTGTGCATGCGTGCCCAAGATCCCGAGAGGAGAATGGAGAAGGGATTGTGGCGTGGCCATCCCCCCGGGGGAGTGATTTCTCGCTTTCTGTCTCTCTCTCTCTGTCTGGCGAGTGCACGTGCCCTATAGCGGAAATCTCTCCAAAAAAAAGAAAAAAACAAGTATCCAGAATATAAAAAGTGCTCCTATGACTCAGTAGAAGTGACAAACAGTTCAATTTCAAAGACTTATTTAATTACTTTTGTTACTATTTATAACTTTTTAAAGTTTAATTTTATTATTTTTAGTTTGCTATAGGGCACATATATTCACCAGAGAGAGGAAAAGTAAGAAAAGAAGCTGCCAGGACTGAGCCTTAGAGCACACTCAGCCATGCGGGGGTTGAGCACCTCAACCACCATGCCACCTGCTGGCCCACTTCTTATTTTTTTAATTTGACCAGAGAGGAGAGAGAAAGGGAAAGCGAGAAAGCAAGCTACCAGGTCCAGAAAGGGAGCCGTGGCTGGCCAGAGGCCTTAATCACCAGGTCGCCTGCCAGCCTTCAGCCCAATTTAAAAAGGGCAATGACCTGAGCAGAGTCTCCGCCAGGAAAAGATCCGTGCCTGGCCAGTGCGTGCAGGGCGAGGTGCTCAGCATGCCCACGCCTGGCCAGTGTGTGCAGGGCGAGGTGCTCAGCACGCCCACGCCTGGCCAGTGCGTGCGGGGCGAGGCGCTCAGCACGCCCACGCCTGGCCAGTGTGTGCGGGGCGAGGTGCTCAGCATGCCCACGCCTGGCCAGTGTGTGCGGGGCGAGGCGCTCAGCACTCCTGGCTGCTGAGGACACAGCACCGACAGCGGGCACACCTGAGCGCCTCCAGGGCTGAGATGGACATGAGCATGCCGGCGGGGGTCGGACTGCGTGTTACAGACGGGCTGGCCACACTGGGACAGTCTGGCAATTTTTCAAGTTAAACACTTACCAAACGCTCCAGAAATCTGCCCGTTTGCTGGCCCATGAGACACGGAAACACATGTGTTTCGGCACTTCCACATGCCCAGTAGTTTTACTGGTAATTGCCAGAAACCAAAAACTTCCCAATGTCCCGCTCACCAACAGGGGACCAGGTAAACAGGTGTAACGCGATCACTCCATGGAGAAGCATCAGAAATAAAAAGGAACGAACTTCTGACATGTCAAGGTGGGTATTCAAACACAATTCTGAAAGAGGCCAGAGGAGGAGCCCACCCAGTGCACTCCAGAAGCCACCTAAGGGGCTAAGAGGCCCTGCCCGTGGGGACAGGGGCCAGTGGGAGGGCGTGGAGGGAGGCAGATCTCCGAGGCAGCGTGCTCTTTGCCCTTGTGATCGCTGACAGCACCCGCGACCACAGTCTCGGAGCGGCTCACTTGGTGGTTCTTACCGTATGAAACTGGGTCCTCGTAAAGCAACAAAGGAAAGCCGGCTGGGCTCGCTCCTGGGGAGCACCAGGCCGTAGGGGTGAGGACAAGCCAGTTCCTGAACTGGGGTCAGGGACAGGATGGAGCTCTGTGAAACACTCGGTAAGCCCTGCCTTTATATGCTCTTCTCTGTGTAAACTTGTCTTCAAAATAGCCGAAAATGCAAACCACCCGGCAAGAGAGACACTGAGGGCAGGACTGAGTGGGCCCTCTCGCGCCCTCGTCTGGGTGGGCTCTCCGAGGCTGCTCGTGTCGCCTGCCCCTCAGGCACCGGCACCCCAGCAGCAGTGGGCAGTCACCAGAGGCGTGAACGCTGAGCAACTGGACACTGACGTTTCAAAGGGACTTTCTCTGAGTCTTCGGATTTGAAGTCTCGTTCCGCTTTATGACAGAAGTCACCTCCCGGTCCTTCTGACAGGTCTGGGAACCATGGGGCCGTCACCCTGCAGGCAGAGCTCCTGGCCCGGCCCTCGCCTCTGCAGCCCAGGCACTGAAGCAACCTGAGTCTCCGTCTGTCCTCACCAAAATGTCTCCTCTTCGGCTTACCGGGAGGTGTAAACCGACCTGCAATTCTTGGTCCTAGAGGAAAAAGGCTGTTCCTCAAAGTCTAGACCATGAGGCAAAAGCCACCAATTACACGTAAACCCTCGCCGAGGCAGAGGCTCTCGGTTCAGGGTGATCCTGTCCTCGCTCTCTGCAGGACGTCTGGCGGTGGCCAGTTTGGCTGTCACGGCTGGGAAGGGTGCTGCTGGCCAGGGATGCTGCTCAGCGCCTTCCTCCACACAGAAGCTCTCACTTCAGAGACGAGCCAGCTGAGAACAAGGATGCCAGACTCAGGGCAAGGCCATGGCCGACTGCCTGGGCATTCTCAGGTGCATTACGTCACCCCAAAGATGGAGGAGGCCGCACTGACCTGCAGACATTCCCTCGGATCTCTCCCACAGCCCGGGGTGGTCTGGGCCTCCTCAGGAGTCCCAAGTGCGGTAGCTTCCAGCTTGCCCTTGGCTCTGCGCCTCGAGAGCTGCTGAGAGGGTGGGCCAGCACACCCATCAACACGAACTACCAGTGAACGGTCTCGAGTGCAGGTCCGAGAGTGCGCGGGAACTGTCCCACAGACGAGCGCCCTGTTCCTGCTTATTCTATTTGTTGTCAGAGTGCACACCCCCAACAGAGCATGGTAACACTGCAAGCCTTTTTCTTCCATCTCCCCAGGATTTGGGGCACATGTGCACCCATGTGTTTATAAGCCTCTGGGGCTGGGTTTCAAGCTGTGTCCAGCGCAGTGGCATCTGACTCCTTAAGCATGGCTTACTCAGTGCTAAGGGCCGGTCCTTTTAAATTCACAATAGAGGGACCAGCAGATGGCATAATGGTTACGTCGGTGGACTCCCACCTAGTCGACAGGGGTTGAAGTCCCAGACCCAGTAACTTAAAACACACTCGGTGTGTGTGTGTGCATGTGTACCCAAAATCCTGAGAGGAGAATGGAGAAGGGATTGTGGTGTGGTCATCCTCCCTAGGGATGATTTCTCGCTGTCTCTCTGTTCTTTGGCAAGCATGTGTGCCCTATAGCAAAAATCCCCTCCCCCCCAAAAAGAAATTCACAATAGAGCAATGCACGAGAGAGAGAGAGAGAGACGCTCTCCGGGGGCTTGGTCAAACTGCAACCCCCTTTCTGCGGTTCTGCAGCCTGCCAGGGTCCTGGAAATGCTCACACACTGGCACATCTTCAGGGCGACTGGGCTACGGACTTGAACCTAGGTCGGCACATGGCTTCCAGCTCTGTGGACCAGCACTACCAACTGTGCCCAGAGGTGGGACCAGGTATTCCTGCCCCGAGATTTCATTTAGTACGAAGAGACAAATCGGAATGGTTAACTCATGCTGGGCTACCCTTCTCTCTGAAAGTCCTTGACTTACTTAGAAGACAGAGAAAAAAAGAAACTAGTATGGTCAGTGAGAGCTTTTCTGATAATTACTGAAGGCTTTCCTGGATGTTATTTTATTTGACAATCTACCTGAAACATTTTGAGTGATTTGCAAGAACAGACATGGATGAAAGAATGGGTATTACAACAAGAGCTTTACTGGTAACACCTTTTTAATAGGTCAAGTAACTGTACAGTTCATTATATTCTTCCTGAGAATAATTTATATCCCTCAACAGACTAAAGGGAGGGTGTGTTTTTCAGTTATTTAACAGAATGGATGATGTAACTGGACAGCAAAATAAAACCAAATCCCTCTGTTTTGCCTGATTCTCTCCTGGGAAGACAGACACAATGAAGGGTGGTTAACTCCAGTGGCTATGAAATAGTCAACATGGCTTCGATCTTTCTTTATAAATTATATAAAAGTGGAAAATGGGGATGATTCTGGAACTTCTTCTCAATGCAGTTTGGAGGTGCTCTGGTACAAAGCATTTCTGCTTCCGAGAGAAATAGCATTGCTACAAAAAACTGGCACGTTACCCTGGTGAGACAGACGAGTCTGCAGTTGCGCCCACAGCCAGCTTCCAGCCGGCATGTCGCACACCCACACGAGAGGAGGCAGGAGAGACAAGAAGGTCGCAGGCTTTTCTGAAACGACTCAAGTCTTCAAAATATAGCTTTTATACTTTCTTCGTAATGTGGGGTTAGCATATTGCAACTGAAGGGTGTTTTAACAAACAAAAATTCCAGTCTGGATAATAACTCCATGGTTGGCAAAAGAATTCTCAGCCTCTCGGTTTCCCGGGATTCTTCACTTCATGCCCTCTTCCCCCAACATGCAGCTAAGGCAGTTCAGGAATTAACATGTCACCCCTTGGCCACCACCATGAAAACGTGTCCTAACGCGAACGTAAGCTGTTTTTCATGATTCTTAAAAGCTTCTTATGTACAGTTTTCATTCTCAGAAAAATGCCGTATTTTTGGGTTCCAGACTTTTCTGAACATCATGATTAAAAACAAAACTCCAACAAAAAATGAACCCAAATCAAAAAGTGGTTAAACTTATATGAGAGAGATTTTCAACCAGATATCATTCAAAAATGGGGCTTAAGTGCTGGCGACCGAGGACACAGGGTTAACTCCTCGCTGCTGGTGGAAGGCTAGAGAACATCTTGAAGGAGGGGAGGAAGACGTGCTCCTCGGGCCAGGCTCAGTGCGGTCTGGTCTGCCCCAGCATTTTCAGTCTGGCTTGGTCAATGACGTCGAGTAAGTTCTTGGCGTCCACGGCCAGGGCGTGGGCCGCGGTCAGCATTTGCTTCTTGTACTCCTGCTGCAGGCTGGTCATGACATACTGCTGGGCCAGCTTCATCTTGTTGATGAGCTCTCCCAGGTCAGAGTTCAGCAACTTCTGCGCCATCTCAATCTGTAAGGACAACAGACGGTCAGGGGGTGCTTCCGCCCAGCTTCTCAGGGACCTGAGAGCCTCTGCATTTTACAGTTCCTTTCACTGGGGGGAGGGGAAGTGCCCTCAATGAGGTCTCAACACATTGTGAACTGGTGCCCAGCCAGCCGGGATTGCAGGCATGTGTGAGATGCCCAGTGTGTTCAGGGTAACCCAGGTCCTGACCCTGTCCCTGTGTGTGGGTCTGGTATTGTGCAGTGGCACCCTACTGCCTGTGCCGCCGAGGTCGGGCCTCTCTTTGCCGCCATGAGAAGAAACTTTCTCTATTTTAAAAAAATATATTTATCACTACAGTGCAGTACCCTCACTAGAGACAGAGAGGGAAAGTGAGAAAGCACCCCTGGGGGGGATGGCCACAATGCTTTCCTCCTCTAGGGATGATGGACATGCACACACACACATGATCAGTATGCTTTGCAATCCACCAGGTCTGGGACTCGAACCATACAGTCGGCCATGTGGGATCCAGCTACCTTAACCACTATGTCACCAGCTGGCCTTAAACTTCCTTTCTTCCCCTCAAACACAGTTTCCTTAGAAACACGGGATGCAAACCCAAACTTCCCTTTAGAAATCCAGCCAATACCCAGGCCTGTGTACGTGTGGGCCATGCCTGTATGCCTGTGTGAATCTGCACGAGTGTCTTCCTGTGTGTGCACGTGCAGACTACTCTCCCCACTAACAGCCCTCACTGCCCACTCGACTGACTCCCTCTCTACTCCGTGTTCACTGTTTAGATGTTGCCCACCTCAGAGGCAGGCAGGGCTTCTCTGTGTTTGAAGGGAACCACGGGCTCTGACGGAAGCCCCAACATCATCTAGAGTGGGTGCAGACTGTAGTGCCTGTGGGCCATGTCTCCAGGCCAGGACAAGCCAGCCTGCCTTCCAGGCTCACATTTGTTCTGCTGCACCAACACTCCCAAGCCTCCCCCTGCTGCTGCACAGGAGCCTGGCGGAGGCCATGGACACCTGCTCTGCCCTAACAATGGGGCAGAGGTTGGGAGTGGTGGGGGGAGGATGAGCATACTCAGCTTGTGGAGGGTCTTGTAATCCTTCTCACCTGTTGGCCAATCATGATTCATCCTTGTTTTTTTTTAAATAGAGATTTTTTGCCATAGGGTGCATGCACTCACTGGAGAGACAGAATGCGAGAAATTATCCCCTGTAATCACTTCTCCTCCATGCTCCTCTCAAGATTTTGGGCACACACACACACATGCCCGGCAAGTTTTAGGCCATGAGATCTGGAACTCAACTGTGGTTGACTTCGTGGGAGTCCAGTGACGTAAGCATTATGCCATCTGCTGGTCCCCCCATCCATTTGCTATTTTTTCTTTTTTTAAAAAAGATTTTTAAAATTTTATCTATTCATTCATTTATTTTTAATTTGACAGAAAGAGAGACATAGAGAGACAGAGAGAAAGAGGGGAAGTGAGAAAGCAAGCCACCAGGTCTGACTCGAACCGTGGTCAGCCATGTGGGAGTGTCCAGCACCTTGCCGGCATGCCACCTGCTGGCCCCATTTGCTCTTTTACCAACCTCTGAGCACTGTGCACAGGGCATGGCAGTGCTGTGGGCAGGAGGGTGTGTGCTCAGCCAGGCCAGAACAGGCCTGCACAGTCACCTCTCACATTGCAGTGCATCCGCAGCAGCAAGGTACGCAGAGAAGAAGGTCAGAACTGCAGAGAAGAGTGGATTTGGCCTAGACTGTAAGAGGATGGCTTCAGCTGTGGCAGGTCCCTATGTCGATGCTCCAGGGAGATGTTCTGATGTGGTGTGGAAGGGTGGGGAGACAAGGGCAGAGGTCCCTGCTCAGAGGCTGCTGTGGTAATGCTGGGAAGAGGCGTTGGTAACCATCTGAGATTTGAAGAAAGACGGTGTCTGGCCATTTACACTGCATGGCACGTGAGCAGGTGCTGAAGGGGACAGGTGCTGAGTACACAGTGGTGCCACTGATTACGGTGGATGGAGAAAGAGACTCCCTGCCCAAGGCAGACACCCAGGAGACGGGGCAGCCAGGGCTCAAGGAAAGCACTCCGGACCACAGGGCGGGGGGCACTGAGCACTGCCATCACAGAATGGAGAGGACTACTAGGGCCATCAAGCACAGTTTAGGAAACATGTGGGCAGCAGCACCGTGGGCCACATCCATGGCTGGCTGGGAAAAGAGCCGAGCGGGGCCTTGTAGGAGAGGAGTGCATGAGGACCCGAGGGGTGGCTCCGGGGTAGGCCTGAGGACAGCAGCCTCCGGAGACCTGGGAGGGCAGCTACAGTGGGGACGTGGAGCAGCTGCAGCAGGGGCTGAGTAGGGCTGCGAGGCCGGGAGCCAACAGCGACAGGGTTGGCCATGCTCTGCTAGCAAGCATGGGGACACAGGCGGAGAGATGGCAGTGGGCAGGGAAACGGAACTCAAGAACGATGAGACAATGTGTAAGAGATCTGTGTAATCTGGGTGAGCAAGAATTGGGGGTGGGGACCAGCAGTTAGCGTAATGGCTATGTTGCTGGACTCCCACGTAGTCGACTGCAGTTCAAGTCCCGGACCCGGTAGCTTAAACTCATGCCGGGCGCGTGTTCGTGCATGCCCATGTGGCCATCCCCCCTGGGGGGTGATTTCTCGCTTTCTATCTCTCTGTCTCTCTCTGTCTGGCGAGCACAAGCGCCCTATAGCAAAAACCTCTCCAAAAAAACAAAAAAAAATTGGGGAAGGAGGAGGCACAACTTTGGCTGCATCAGCTAGAGAGCGTGCTGACAAATGGTCCTGCTAACACGTCCACCTGGGAGGACACTGCTTTCTTGCTTCTGGTATATGAAACTGTTCACTTTTTGGCAAAACAACTGCTCATAATAGGAAATGAGCCACAGCCCCAAACTAGCTGATCCGCAACTCAGCCAAGAATGAAAAGTTATACCATGGCAGCTCACTGAAGCACTTTCTCCAATGGTTTCGCTGGCACTGTGCAGGTGAACTGAGGCCGTGTCCACAAGCTCAGCAGTAGCTGTGTCCAACCGCCCTTCAGCTCAATTCCCAGTTTGGCAGGACAAACCACACCTGACATCGAGCTCCGGGCCCAGTACCCTGAGGGGACTCCACTCCCTCGTGCAATGTTACTGAGTGCAGAAGGAAACCTCAGTCTTGTCTGAGGAAAAGTCAATTGCACACTATCCCTTAATACAGCTTCTGGAGTACACCACCGGGGCCAGCAGGTGGCATGGCGGTTCCACTGCCGGCCCCTCACATGGCTGGTCACGGCTGGGTCCCAGACCCGCTGTCCTGACAACAGCTGTGGGGTATGTGCCTGCATGCCTCCTGGTTATCCCAGGGGAGCGGAGACAGACTGCGGCGTGGCCATGCCCCTGCAGGGTGATTTCCTACTTTCCCTCTGTCTGTCTCTGTCTCTCTTCTCTCTGGCAAGTGCACACACTCTATGGCAAACACCTGAAAAACAAAACAAAAACCAAAAAAAGGAAAAAAGAACAAGAAATGGAAGGACTTCCTTTCATTCGCCAGACACCTGAATGAGGCACAACTGCCCAGCAGTGGCAGAAGTGACAATAGTTTCTGGTAGACATTTTAGGCAAACTCCAATTTCTTCAAAAACATTTTAGACAAAAATATTAAGTTTTTTTTTAATTCCCAGAGAGTACATGTGCTTGTTGGAGAGAGACAGAGAGAGAAAGCACCCTCCCCAAGGGGCACGGTCATGCGGGAATCTCTCCTCCATCTCTTTACCCTGTTGGGGTTTAGGGCACACACACTCCCTGTGCTTTTCAAGCTTCTAGAGTCAGGGTTCCAACAGCAGCTGGCAGTGTGGGATCTGGGGACCTTAACCACTATGATGCATGGCTAGCTTCACAAACGTTAATTTAAAAGAAAAATCTGTATCACTTCTTTCAATGGGCAACCATGTTACTTGCCAACGCTCACAGTTTGAAGGAGAGCAACCCCTCTCCCCATCTCTGAGGACCCCTGCTCCACCAGCAGCTCCCCCACACTTCTTTGCCCACTGCCCACAGCTTCCCTGGGCCAGGTGGAGTGGCAGAGCTGGCTCCAAGGACCTGGGGACAGGGGAGCTGCTCCACTGTTATCGAGGCTCTAGAACAAACAGCCAAGCACTGGCCAGGGTCACTGCTAGCTGAAGGCAGCGCCTGCAGGCCCGTCAAGGCCTCCTCTGCTGATCACGGGCCAAAGAGCCACCATCAGCACCACAGCCAGCCTCGTCCACCTGCATTCTGGAAGCCCAAAGAACCCATGTGCCCACCCATGCAGTATCCTACCTCTCGATGCGTGCTGGCTGGCAGGACAGGGATGGTCTCATCCACAGTGGCCAGCAAAGTCCTCAGGGCCAAGCCGACTTCCTGCAGAGGAGAAGCACAAGCAGGGTCAGGTCAGAGCACACCTGCCAGCGCTGGTCATCTTTCCTGCCAGCTATGGATTTGCTTCCTTTCTGTCAGTTCTAAGGAAAGTGTCTGCATTCCTTTTTCCAGCAGAGTCCCAGCTTGTAAACTGTGATATTCTTTCTTCTCTTGCAGACTTAGCCCTCAGATCACCCATCACTCTATTCCCTGCAGAGTGGGGCAGAGGCTGGAAGCTCATGCAGGAAAGCAGGGCTGTTCCTTTCCTCTCAGCTGGTGCCTCTCCCGGGCAGAGCATGCTTCCCTGCCTGCCGCACAGACAGGGCAGACGCCAGCACCTTCCTTCTGGGGATTTGCTACATCCGAGCTCTCCCAGGTGCTTTCAAACAGTACAGGAGGCCGGCCAAGAAGCCGCTGTGCTGTTCCAGGTGAAGGTGGCAGCCTCGCCTTACAACTCATTCAGAAGCTTACATTCTGCCCGCATTGTGCACGGACCGAAGCTAGTCCTCGCTGCCCTTCTGAGTGGTAAAGAATAGGGCCTCGCTATGACTGAGAACGTCATTCCATGGCAAGCACAGCTGGTCCCCGGTCCACTTCCTGGCTGCTAAGTTTACCTGTGCTCTGTAACAGTTTTGGCTGATGTTCCTAAGGGTGAGCTTCCATGCACCCACAGCCAAGATCGAAAGAACAAGTAACTTAACAGTGCGGTTCGAGTCCTGGATCCGGCAGTTGAAAACCATGCCAGGCCCATGTGTGTGGGTGCCCAAAGTTCCGAGAGGAGAATGAAGAAGGGACTGCAGCATGGCCACCCCGTATGGGGTGATTTATCACTTTTCCTTTCCCTCTTTCTCTGGCGAGCACACAAGCCCTAGAGCAAAAACCAACCAAACAAACAAAACTCCATGACGACGAAAAAGAAAAAGCAATACTGGCTCAGAGCAGTTTACGAGCAGCTGTACACTGCAGGAACCCTGCACACCTGAAACACCAGTGTGACTGCAGTGGGAGGACAGTGGGCACCTCCTTGAAGCCCCGTCCCAGAGCTCCAGCTACCTCTCCCAGGGTCCCAGCCCAGTGAACACAACTCGGAAAGTACTGGTTTACCGCTATGTTTCCGTCTACTTTTTCACTTAAGAAAAAAACTGAGAACAAGTGAATGCCCACACCTGGCCCTCAATCCAAGAACAACACAAACAAACCCATAAAATGCCATTCTTGACTGGCTCTTCCTTGTGGGCAGGACCCCGAGCCTGGTGATTGAGGCAGGGCTGTCCTGCATGTTTCAGCTTCAGTTGGTGGCACTGGGTACTAAGTATGCCCTGCAGCCTCCTCTTCTTCAACCCCAGACTCTATCTGTGAGCGATGCTTGTTAATATTATTATTATTTTTTTGGAGAGGTTTTTGCTATAGGGCATGTGCGCTTGCCAGACAGACAGAGAGAGACAGAGAGACAGAAAGCGAGAAATCACTCCCCAGGGGGGATGGCCACGCCGCAATCCCTTCTCCTCCATTCTCCTCTCGGGATCTTGGGCATGCATGCACATGCACCCAGTGTGAGTTCAAGCCACCGGGTCCAGGATGCAAACCGCAGTTGACTACGTGGGAGTCCAGCGACATAGCCATTACGCTAACTGCTGGTCCCGCTTGTTAATATTATTAAAGACTACATGGTTTCAGGACATCCCACCCCTGTGTGTGCTGAAAGGAGACAAGACAGACAGCACTTCCTAACACTCAGGGCTCTCTGGCACATTGCCACCACCTGTGACCACGTCTGGCCCTTCTTCAGCACCACAGCTTCCTGAGACACGTGAACGTTCCTGCAGGGACGTGTGGCTGTGCTTTACCTTCACCATAGGGACATACTCCTCTGGCGGGGCCGGCTGGATCTTACTGGACATCTCGATGACAGCTTTCACCAGGCCCGTCACGTTCTCATACACCTTGTCATTGGACCGGTCCAGGTTGGCGGTGGGTGGGGGGCTGATTTCCTGGGGCTGCAGCTGGTAAGACAGGAGACAGTCATTTTCCTGCTCCCCAGCAGATGGCGCGCTCTCACCGTGATGAAGTAAGAAAGGGGCTTTAAGAGAGATCAAAGCAGGTCACGGCCCGGCACCGATTCTCTTGCTTGTCCGGGACATATGTGTTTGGGGATGAGACAACATTGCCAAACAGTGGCAAAAGTGAGGATTGCTTCTGGGAGAGATTTTAGGTGAACTCCAATTTATGTCATCTCAGTGATAAACGAGGGCATTTTTTTCCACCTTTGAGCTCAGTTAAAGGAAATGCGATCAAATCATACACGTTACACTAAAAACACCAGATTATTTCAGAGAATGATTCGCTGCCCCCACCCCCAATCACTCACCACAGCAAATCAGCATCCATGTAGGTTACACCCCTGAGAATTCATTGAACCCTGAGAATAAGTTACTTGGCTGCAAGGGCAACGCCCTACACTAAGACTAGGAGCTGGAACCTGCACGGTGACTCATGGCTCTGCTCCGCTGCCCTCCAGGACCCAATGGAAATGGCCATGTTCAGCCAACACACACGAGCCCACCTCAGTGAGGCTGCCTGCAGACAGCGGCTCCTGTCTCAGTGAGGCCGCCTGCAGATAGCGGCTCCGGTCAGAGTGGTGGAGAGGCCAGTGGGGGCTTCCTGGCATGTGGGAGCACGGGCTCCAGTCAGCTGTGCTGACCGCGGCAGCCACCTGGGGCTGCAGGCCTCAGCTGCCCCACCCAGGCACCCATGAGAAAGGGTGGCTAAGCCACAGCTGTGAGCAGGTTCAGGACATAGGGACATGAATGAGCACTGCCCGAGTAAACTGAGCACAGAAGGCAGAATGGCGTGAGGGCCTTCAGGGGAGCACTGCTTAAAATTCAAATCGAGTAGAGCTGTACCAGGCACAGAAAGGACCGTGGGTATGAGCAGCCTATGCTGTGGCGGCCAATGGCGGGCGCCCTC